TATATATATATATATATGACCTGCTTATTCATTTCTGCTTGATTATAATTTAAATAATTTACACTACTCTCTCATTGATTCTCTTCTTATCTTTTATAAATCAATCAATGCTCCTTTCTCTTTCTCTCCTTTTTACAAATTGATGCAGTTTTTTTCCCTCTAGACAAAACTATTAAATGGATTAAATCTATATCTCGCGACAATAAGTCATCACTATTGTTCTTATGTCCCTGCCTTAAATTAATGTCATCATTGTTGCGTGTCAATGCGTAGCTTTGAGACAATAAATCATCGCTAAAAATATCTTCGTTTTATATGATATAAGCCTTATAAAAAAATACCAAGTACACATTCATTCAAAAAGTTGTTGTATGAAAAGATATTTTACTTAAATTTATATTTTATTAATTAAGTTTGATTTTCTCTACATAAACGTAATAATATTAGAAAATTATGAAAATTATAATCGAGAATAAAAATTATAAAACATTATCTATACATATATATCTATACAGAGTTTAATCCTTTTATTTGCATGTTTCAATATTAAAATTGTTTTATCTCCAACAAAATGTAATATAATTGCATAAATTAATTAAATATTTACATATATGCATTTTAATATAGCACAAAAGCCACAACATATATTCTGTGATAAATAACTTTTCAAAATGTACTGAAAAAGTAATATAACAAACTTTAATACAAAAAAAAATATTATGTGACTGAAAATTAACATTGTTACTGATAATGAATTATTATTATTATCTCGAGGTATTGTATAAAAAAATTAAGATATGTGAAAATTATTCCGAAAGAAAGAAAGACAGAAAGAAAAAGAATGGAAGAAAAAACTTATACAATACAAAGATATAATAATAATTATAAAAAACATTAATACTTATTTTACACACGTGATATATACACATCATCTATACAGTAATAATCAACCTGTTGTTTAACAAACCGAGATCTATTGCGCGATGAATGATGAGCCTCGTAAGTGACAGCCTAATTTAGTATTTCTTGCAAGGATTATTATAAATTTCACAACTCGTCCCGAAAAATTATCTATTGTAGAAAAAGAAGTTTTTTCTCAACATAATGAGAGATTCTCTTCAGCAGATTTAAGAAATAATACGCGAGTCGCATGCGAAACATATTACCAAACGACCTTCCTGTGGATATCACTTTTATATAATAGGTGTATGGGGTCAAAGCAAAAATTATTATACATATATTACTTAACAAAATTTGGCAATTTCGATCATTTATAACAGTGGAAAACACTATAATCTCTCTATTTCACAACATTATTTATAAACAGTAATCGTTCCATGTTTGCAAGCACATTGTTATCATCGCCGCTGTCATAACTTTTCTTGAAATGAATAAAAAAAGAAGTTGTATGTAATAATATCATTTTTGCGTGTTTTATTATTTTCAGAGAAAATATAAGAATCGCTCGTGCATCGTGCATCGCAGAGAGAATCTTATGAGTAAAGGATTATATCATTGTGTGTATATCAGTACAATTGATGAACAACAATGCCAACGACAATGATGTAAGTTTATATATTTCCTCTGTAAAAGCATATGTATAATATATACTGACGTATATATTTTATGCGTATAAATGCGATAAAAAAATTTCTAATGCAAAGCTTCGTATAAATTTAGAAATTTTTGACTCTCGATTAAGTTTTAGAGAAAAAATTCTAAAAGAAAAATATATATTTATAATTATTTTGCTATTAATATCGTACTATATCAAGTAGACGAAAATATAGATGAAAATAATTCTTAAAAATTTCAGCTCGACTGACAATGTTAAAATTACATCTGATGTCATTTATTTCGTTGCAGGCATACCGAAGATTCCGTCAACTTTACGATTAATGGAGTACCATACAAAGGTATTGTATTTTTTTTCGGATATGATTTATACAGACAATATAATTATAAAAATGAAAAATTTTGACTCTACCAAATAGCAAAATAAATAATTACGATACAGCTGAAATTATAAAGGAAATTTAATTACAAGTCTAATTGTGATGGCGGAAATCATAGAATTTAATTATGAAAATTTAATTATAATAGCAAGAACAACTACAGTCAATTATGAAAATTTAATTGCAACGATAGAAGCTATAGCATTCTCTCAATCATGAAAATTTAATTATTTAACAGCTGTCAAAATACTGAAATTCAGAATATTAAAGTCGATACTATACATACATGTTTGTCGTTCCGGTGTTATATTATGACTGTTATGTCGATTTTATAATCACAAAAATTCACTTTCAGTCTCGGGAGGCATACCGACGAACACGTCCCTCAATGTGTACATTCGCGACTATGCGAAACTCCGCGGCACAAAGGCCATGTGCCATGAGGGTGGTTGCGGTGCCTGCATCGTGGCTGCGGAAATCAAGGGGGAAACAATGGCTGTGAATTCTTGCCTTGTACCGATATTAATTTGCGACGGGTATGCGTGTAATTTAATCGATGAACTTGTACTCAAATTTTACTCTTCAAAAAAAGAAGTTATATATAATAAAAATTTAGCGTGACATACGTGTCACACGAGGTATCTTATTTTTAATGTTGATCTCCGATCATTGACGTAATAGAAAAATTTTTTTTTAATCCTATCTATTTACTTTGAGATTGCGATTAATTTTATTAATCCGTGTCTCCTATCTCTTATCGAATAATTTCGCAGATGGGCAATTCATACGATCGAGGGTATAGGAAATAGACGAGATGGCTATCATTCGATTCAAGCTGCGCTCGCTGGAAAAAACGGTACGCAATGCGGATATTGCTCTCCCGGCATGGTGATGAATCTTTACAGGTACGATGAAGAAATAAAAAAAAAAGACATCCTTTCTATAAATTTAAACATCGCGTTGAAATATTCTAGCGGATCGACGTTATATCCATACACGTTTTAACGCGCCTCCATGTCGTCATTTTCAGTCTCACGAAAAACAAGAAATTGACAATGCAACAGATCGAAAATTCGTTCGGCAGTAATATTTGCCGATGCACGGGTTATCGGCCGATTCTGGATGCGTTTAAAGGATTCGCCAGCGATGCGACTCCCGCACTGATGAAGGATATTCGCGATATCGAGGTAATCGCGCGCGATAAAATTTTTGGTAAATATGCATAAAAGGTCACACTTCATCGATTTAATCGCCACTTAGATATGTTGTAGGGAGGAGTGTTTTGAGTAATATACCGCAAGAAATAAGTGGGGAATGGCATTGATTTAGAAGATATAATTTAATATAATTTAAGTTTGATATTAAAGTATATATATACTGTATAATTTGTTATTTTTTCATTGAAAAAAACTGTTTATGATATTTACGCGTAAACGGGGGACAGGCGGAGCTCCTGCATCCCCACCTCGAAAAAATTTCTAATCTAAACCAAACCTACTTTCAGTTTTAAAAGTAAAGTTGGGTTGGATTAGGTTAGAATTTTTTTGGGGTGAAGGTGCAGAGGGAGGGACGGAGCCCCTCCCGCGCCCACGCATTCAATAAATAATATTTTTCATTTACAAGACTTACAAATTTATGTAGTCGCATATTGAAAGCTGTTAACAAAGGGTGCTTTCCAGCTATGGAACACAGTGATACACTGTGTGATACTGTGTTATACAGTGTTGACTTGTAGCTGGAACGCTGTTCCGATCTATATGCTCAATATGTGTGTATATCAACGATTTGAGCAGCCATAAAGAAGATAAACGATTTGTAATAATAATTTAAACTCGCAAAAAATATTTTCGCTGTAAAAGTTAGTATTTTTTAACAAAATTTTTTTTATGAATTATTAATTTATTTATCAGATATGTAGAGAAGAGATTAAAAACTGATCAAATTATGTAAATTAAGTATAATATAGCTACAATTTTATCTTATTAACAAAATTTATAAGTTTAATTAATCAATTGAGCGACGACACAGTCGAACACATCATTCTAGATGTGTACGATTGTATTGACTTGTGTCGTAGTTGGAAAGCACTGACAATCGTACACTGTGTTACACAGTGTCGCCTGTGTACGTTGCTGGAAAGCACCCAAACTGCGAGAAATAGATGAAACTGATTATTGATAAAATCTATCTATTATTGATAATATCTTTACTCTATAACAAATACAACGTATACAAACTTCACTTTTCCGAATGTTACTTTATAATACCTAAGAGAAAGCATTAAAACTGTGAAACTTTAATTTGTTATATCTCCTATATCAATGCCTTCAGCTATTTGATTCTTGCGACGAATTACTCAGAACACTTCCCCCTACAACATATCTAAGTGGCGATTAAATCGGTGAGGTATGACTTTTTATATTTACCAAATTTTCTTTCAATTGCAAAAGCTTTGTTCTCTTCAGTTTCAGAATAATATTCATTTCAGTTTCATTTAATCATTATGTAAAATTTATACTTTTGTAATTATATTTCATTCCTGTATAATATAATCCTAATAAATTATTGTATTATCATTTTATTGCTATTACGCGAGATAATACTTTCTATATAGTTTACTTATAGGATTATAAGTACAATAATACATATATGCATATTTCATAGGAGCTCTACAAGGTCAAAACCTGCCCGAAAAACGGATTGCCATGCAGAAACACTTGCGCCGATAAACATTCAAACAACGTAAAATTGGATATAAAGTTGGAAGACGCGGAATTCTATAAAGTTTACTCAATCGAGGACTTATTCGCGATATTTCAACAGAAACCGAAGGCCACATACATATTAAACGGCGGAAATACGGCGCACGGTAAAAGATGTTTTTTATATTTATACAAAGTTACTATTTAAAAGTACAAAATATTTATGATAAAAAATACGAAGTGTATGTTAATCAGTGTTTATCTATTCAAATAAATATATATTAAATGTTCCGAATATGTAAACATGGAACTTACAACTATTAGCATTATCTGCATTACCATGCATTGCCGACAATGTGCTCTTTTAAGTCTTATGTTTGTTATTCAAATTAATTTAAACTAATGTGTTCTAAAAATGAAAATCCCTTATATGCGAATAGAGAGCCACTGTACAGAGTGTTTTACCTCTACCGCGTTATTTTTTAACGACGGATTTTGCAAGAGAAATGGAATATTTTATGTGTTTCATTATTTTTAAATATGCTTAATAATGCTCTTCAGATCATTTCAATCAATATTTTGTAATATCGCCAATTAAATAAAGACCTTACACGACAATAACCTAATTCTAGGTATTTATCGCACGGGCAAAAACGATCTTTACATCGACATAAACGACATCCCGGACCTGCGTCGCATCCAAAAGACCAATCAAGATTTAACCTTGGGCGGGAATATATCCCTTACCGTGGCGATGGAGACCTTTCAGAAGTACTCGTCCGAGGCAGGATTCAAGTACCTGCGTCATCTGGCCCATCACATCGACCTGATCGCTAGCGTGCCGGTACGCAACATTGGCTCCATCGCTGGCAATCTGATGATCAAGCACGCGCACAACGATTTTCCATCCGATTTGTTCCTGATGTTGGAAACCGCCGGTACCCAAATACATATCCTCGAGACACCCGGTCGCAAGACAAGCATGATGCTACAGGAATTCCTCGGGACCAACATGCGCCACAAGATCATCTACAGTGTGGTGCTGCCGGCGCTGTCCGATGAATATGAGTACAGATCTTACAAGATCATGCCAAGAGCGCAGAATGCCCATGCACATGTCAACGCTGGCTTCCTCTTCGCGCTCGACGGCGGTGGCAAGGTAATCATATTTCGGTGTTTCTACAAATTATTTTTTCATCCATTATCCGTTAAATCGATATTTCTCTCGCATAAAGGTGCTGAAGAAGCCCAACATCATCTTCGGTGGTATCAACGAGCACTTCCTGCACGCGAAGAAAACCGAGGAGCTGTTGGTGGGTAAATCGATTTTCGATCAACAAGTGCTAAAAACCGCCTTGGAGACGCTGCACAACGAACTCAAACCTGATCACGTGCTGCCGGACTATTCGCCGGAATTCCGCAAGACCCTCGCTGAAGGATTATTTTACAAGTTTGTGCTAAGCATCAAACCGGAGAACGTGAATTCCAAGCTTCGCAGCGGCGGCACTATCTTGGAACGAGGACTTTCTTCAGGTAGAATGATCAGTGGATTTCGAAAGATATATTTTCTTTCTCCTTCGCGTTCTCGACAATTTATTTCGCTTCACTCTAGGATTTGCAAAGCTCGACTGAAAAGTATGACATTCATTTAATTTATCTTCAGCTTATTAAATTCTTGAAATTGAGCTGTTAATGATAAAGCAATTTTGATATTAAAAATGTAAAGGAATATAGATATACTGAATCAATCTCTTGAAGAAAATTGCGCCACGATTTATCGTTTTAATCGCGCATGAAAAAAAAACAATCAGGTACACAGGACTATGACTCGGACAAGAATTTGTGGCCGGTGAACAAGGCGACGATAAAGCTGGAGGCAATTCAGCAGACGTCGGGCGAGGCCCAGTATTGCAACGATCTGCCGCCGTATCCTAGAGAAGTGTTCTGCGCCTTCGTCAGTACGGATATCGGTAACGGCAAGATCCAGAGCATAGACGCGAGCAAGGCGCTGGCTATGAAGGGCGTGGTAGCGTTCTTCAGCGCCAAGGACGTGCCTGGCAAAAATCTATTCGCCTCGGGCGCCAACAAGTTGATAATGCTGAACTTTGACGAAGTTCTATTCGCCGAGGACGACATTCTCTACGCCGGCCAACCGGTCGGCGTGATCGCCGCCGAGACGCACAATTTGGCAAATGAGGCCGCGAAATTGGTGGAGATCAAGTACGGCGAGCCATTGAAGAGGAAGCCAGTGATAACTGTCGAGGACGCTCTTGCAACGAAAGACGATAGCAGAATCATGGTGGGCACGAGTATTCCGGCGCAGAAGAAAGGTAGATTTGTCAGTTATACAAGGTGTTTCTAAACATATGCACAAACATTCGGGAAGTGATCCCTTGGGTAATTTCTTGAAGAAAAGTTCATATACATTAAAAGATAGAGATTTAAGAATTTTAGATAATCTTTCAATATCTCCTAGAAAATTATATAAACTAAAAAAGTATTAAACTAATTGATAATATATATATCTGAAAAATTGTGCAAATTCTATCGAGATTGAAAAAAGATTTAATATAAAAATATAGTAATTCCCACATTTTTCGTTATCTTACAGGAGACAATATTAAGCATGTGATAAAGGGCGTCTTAAAATTATGCAGCCAGTATCATTACACTATGGAGACTCAGTCTTGCGTATGCATTCCCACGGAGGATGGCATGGATGTCTATCCAGCTACGCAATGGATAGATAACATTCAAGTAACTATCGCGGATTGCCTTGATGTCAAGAACAATAGGTGAGTCTCATTAATCTCTCGACTATGAAGAGACAGTTAACGTATTTTCCCATTAATCTCCGTGATAACATAATTAATGTGAGTAGTGCTTCCGAAATACGCCTTCTCGATCTCCTAATCTTCACAAACTTGAACTATATAATATATTTATAATATAATCGTGATAATTTTTTATATTAAAAATTTGGGCGACCAAAATAGACATTTTTTCGATCCTCTTGAAATAAATGAATTAAAAGAGTTTGGAAGAAAAATATTTTGCTAAATTATCCTAATATAATCAAGTGACTTTAATTTTCAATAGTATCAACGTCAGCGTTAAACGAATCGGTGGTGCATATGGGGCGAAAATTTCCCGCAACGCACAGATCGCGTGTGCCTGCGCGTTGGTATGTCACAAGCTGAATCGCCCGGCACGATTCGTCATGACGATCGAGAGCAATATGCAATCGGTGGGCAAGAGAATCATGACGCATAATGATTACGAGGTAGGCGTCAACGACGAAGGGGTCATCCAGTATCTTGATGCGAAATTTTGGTGCAACACCGGTTGCAGCTTCAACGAACCCACCGCTTCGGTCATATCGCATCATTTGGCCAAGTATGTCGTTCAAATTGGCGAATAATATAATATAAGCAAAAGGGCTTTCTTACAGTAATATTATCCTCAAATTTTAATCCTCTCATCCGTCTTTAAAACTCATTCTCAACATTTTAAAATTTAAAGTAAAATTTATTTATGTATTTATTTTTTTCGATATTTTTTCAAGTCAAAAGAAATTTTAAAATATTATAAAAATAAATTAAATCTCTTATTAAATATTAATCAAAGTTTCACGCACGTAAAATCCAACGAGAGGAAAAACAGGAGAGATAATTTAAATAACAATAATATTAATGTATATATATATATTATATATTTAAATAATATTAATATTAATTTAAATAAAAAAAATATGTTAATTAAATGTAATAAATATATTGTTTTAATATTAAAAGAGACTAGATTTCTTTAAAAAATAGTAATATATGTTTGAAAATGAAAAATATGTTGTTCGAATAAGAATCAGTTTATTTTAACAAATTTTGATTAATTTACAACACGTGTGTTCACAATCACCGTTTGTTAACAGCTGTTACGCGACCGACACTTGGACAATAAACGGATACGAAGTGCGAACCGATATACCATCAAACACGTATTGTCGAGCGCCAGGCTCCTTGGAAGGAGTAGCCATGAGCGAGAATTTAATGGAGCACATCGCGAGGGTGACGAAAAAGGATCCTTTACAAGTCAGACTGTCGAATATGAACGACGCGGACAAGGCTCCGCTAGAAGCAATGATACGCGAGCTGTCAAAGTCAGCTGATTACGAGATGCGAAAGCGAGCCGTCGAAATTTTCAACAACGAGAATCGTTGGAAGAAGAAGGGAATCGCTCTGGTGACGATGATGTATCCGTTCATGTATTGGGGACAATTCAACGCCATGGTGTCGATTTGCGCGCGCGATGGTACGGTCTGCGTGACACACGGCGGGATCGAATGCGGCCAAGGTATAAATACAAAGGTATGATATTATAAAGAAAATTTGTTTCAAGCTCCTTTCTTGTTGGAGAGGAACATCGAAAGAATATATAATTTATAGAATAGTTATTAAACTGACAAATATATACATAAATTAAAAATAATTGAAAGGGAAAAAGTTCGAAAAAATTGGCTATTCAATTTTCATAGAATTTAGCGAAGTTTTATCAATCAAATGCAATTTTTTTAATTTTTGCTTCATTTCGTATTAGCTGCCTGGAATTACAAAATAAAAGTACGTATTCTAATATATTGTAATACTATAGAAATTAAACCAAGAATTTAAAAAAAAAACCTTCTAATGATTTTATATGTCAACTTATAGTCCAATATATATCATTTCCAGCTATTATCTCGCATTTTCTCTTTATATAAAAGTTCTATATTGATACATGTAATCGCAATGCAAATGATATATATAAATTTTTTTTAAATATATAGCGGTATATTAGTTAGTTATTTATAAAATTAATTTATATAGATTAGAAAAAAATATTTTAATATACCCCTAAAGCTCTGGCCAAAAGATTTTTTATGAAGCAATGTAAGAATTAAAATAATTTAAATTATAATCAATTAATTAAAAAAAAAATTAAACGGGATAAAAGGGAAATTCTATCGCGAAACTTAGATATCAACTTAATTTGAAGGATTCCTATGGATTCTTTTTAAGCTACTTCTTGCAGAATGTAAAAGTTACTATTAATGATTAATTAATTATTTGCCTGTACGTGTGCACTTTATCCCTATTCATATAAAAATTTCATCCTATTCTCTCTTTTAGGTTGCTCAAGTGGCAGCTTTCACCCTGGGAATCGACCTAAGTTTTATCAGCGTCAAAGCAAGCAATAACATAGTAACACCCAACAACTCGGTTACCGGAGGAAGTGTTAGCAGTGAAAGTTGCGCATACGTAAGAAATCATTTAATCCATCTTCAACGCTTCGCGAAAGATGACGCAATGCATACTAAATTGATTAATAATGATCGGACCCGTGCGATTTCAGTCCACAATTCAGGCCTGCAAGGAACTCTTGAAGAGACTCGAGCCGATCAAGAAAGAATTGAAAGACCCGAGTTGGAAGGAGCTCGTTTTGACGGCGTATCTAAAGGATGTTGATTTATGCGCACGACATATGTAAGCATCATTAAATTATATTTTTAACGCAATTTAGTGTTAATATTTACGCAGATTGACATGAGCTTTTTCCGAAAATATCGTGTCGCGCGATTATCTCATCAATTGTCCAAATAGAAATTTAATCTCTTTATCTTTGTAATAATTGATGAAGAATATAGTTTATATTTCATTAGCAATTTCTTTTTTCTTTGATTGAAACAATATAATCATTGTAATATTTTCTGTTCTCGAATTCGACAAAATCAAGTGATATGAAATTTCATATCTATATAATGCAAAACGATATGTGTGGCAATTCTTGTTTATTACTCACTTCGTTTATTTATTATTCGACGTACTTACCTCGACAGGTTCGCACCCACGCAGGATGACACAATCAAGCCTTACAAAATTTACGGTGTCACCATCGCCGAGGTCGAGATCGACCTGTTGACTGGCCAGCACACTGTCAATAGGGTGGACTTAATGGAGGACGCTGGTATGAGTTTAAGTCCGGAGATCGACGTCGGTCAGGTAGAGGGTGCTTTCGTGATGGGAATGGGATACTGGACTTCCGAGGATCTGGTGTACGATCCTAAAACAGGAGCATTGACAAATTATAGAACTTGGGTACATGATCTTTATTGAAAGTTTCGGTAACGCATCTAATATCTCCAAAACGCGATCCTCCCGCAATTCATCGAGTCCTAAAGAAGGGAGATTAAATTATCATGAATATTCTATTCTCTTCACAGAACTATAAACCGCCAGGAGCAAAGGATATTCCCGTTGATTTCCGCGTGTCCTTCGTTAGAAACTCGAATAATGTACTCGGTGTCCTTCGTTCAAAGAGTAAGATCAGAAATCAAATCATTAATCGAGTATATCATTAATCGAGTATATTTTGAATTTGCATCTGTATTTATTATCAAAGAGAGAAGATCTGATTTCTCTTTCTATATATTCCGCATAATTTCAGAGTTTTTGAACAATCTCTATAGAGGAATTTTAAAATATTTTTTTTTTTTTTTTTTTTTTTTGTAGAGAAAGATGTATACTTCTTAACAATTAAAAATTTAATAAGACAGTCAAACAAAATTATAATAATTGCAAAGCTTAAAAAGTTAACTATTTTGTCTCGAGCATTCTTTGCGATAAAAGATAAAAGTGAGAAAAAGATGCAGATCTGAAAGGATTATTGAGTTGATAAAAGATTGTAAATTAATCATGAATATCCCTTTGTAGCGACCGGTGAGCCACCGCTCGCCATGGCTTGTGTAATTCCAATCGCAATCCGCAAGGCATTGAACTCTGCCAGGGCGGATGCCGGAAACACGGATGACTGGTATCAATTGGGTAAGTTCTAAGTAAGAGGATGTAAACGGTATACTCGTATACTTGATAATGTACAGGATGAATCGCCTACTTTGTGACCTGAATACAACATGTACAATCTTTGCAGATTGTTCAGTCTCGTCATTATATCTCTTCGAGTAGCACTTATATTAATAGAATAATTTTTTCTTAATTGTGATTTTCACATCCTGATATTTTTTTTTCTTTTTCTCTTTGTAAAGCCTAATTTGATATTAATAAATTTTTCGATATAAAATAAAAATAAAAATAATAATTTAGAAGAAATAATTTATGAACTTTTCCGATCTAATTAATTTCATTTTATTATTTCTTCCAAACTATCATATGCGAAGATTACGCTGACTTGAATATTATTTGCGATATGTACACCATTCATATCCATACAATGAACAATATAACAGTTTTCATTTGCAGCGAAAAGTAAAAAAAAAAAAAAATTATTGTAGAATTATCATAGAATTAAGAGAATGTGTGATTCAGCCTGTATATAAATTCTTATAATGTATTATTATATTGATATATACTCGATTATTTTGATCGCTCTTTTTATCGTAATTTCGCAGATGCACCATATACCAACGAACGTATAGTTTTAAACGGTTTAACCAGCAAGGACAACATGGTGCTGAGTGAAAGTGTGACTCGTTTATGCGAGAAAATAAAGCGGTGCTTCAAATAAATCCTATAATTATTGTCGTTCTTCTCTTTAATCGCTCTTTTTCTCAAACCAGAATAAATTTAGCCCCGTACGACTAAGACAATTCGTTTTAACATCCGCGTTTCGCCGATACAAGAGGTTTCAGGGTAATAGCATCGCAATAATATGTGTAATTAGATTAGTTAACAGGCTTTTAACACAACTAAGGCACACAATTTCTGTTTTATGGTAAATAATTTCAATAAATACTTCTCTATTAAACGCCATTGATGTGCTACATAGTAAATATTACAACAACAAATTTGCGATGTATAATTTGTAATTAATGATCATACAATATAAAGTATATGTCGGAGAGAGAAATAATAATCGTATATATATAAATAATAATTCAATATAAGTATATATATATATATATATATATATATCTATACCTCTCTCAAGAGAATCTACAGCAACGATTATTACCGTATATATGTATATACGCGGACATCAAACGTTAAACACGTTGACACCGTTTACATTATTTGCACTTGAGGGTGGATGAGAAAAAGGGCTGGGGAATAAAAAAAACGGAACGAAACGAGATTATGGCATATCAGAGGTTTGATTCGCAAAATCATTTAATTAACGCATAATGTGCATCGCCGCAAAATGGAGAAAAACATGGAATGTGTTCCTTCCACGGCACCACTCACGCCATTCTCAAGACGTCCCGTTCGCTCGAAATAATCGCTATTCACGTGTCGCGAGGGGGAGAAACATGCCAAACTTAACTCTGAGCGCGCAGCCTTAATAATTAAAAATTTTTAGCGCGCGCGCGTAACAAATATACCATTAAGCATAAATAGCGAAAGTTAAAAAGATCGATGTAATCTTGAAGAGATAAAATTTCGCTGCTGCAATGTGTGTGTGGATATCGTATATCTTATCTATATATATCTCTAAATACATAGAATAAGGATAGAGATCGTTTCCGATAATTATACAGCATCGAGATTCAGATTCTTCGAGATTAGATCGATTTTTGCTCCCCTGATAAATAGTATCGCGATGCACGAGCATGTATCTCTCATTCTTAACATCCATTCTCTGTTGTTCTTTCTCGTCTCTCCCTGATAATGCTGGTCGCGAAGAGACGGGGTAAAGATTCCTTTAGTTCTGAACACCAAACGCTCGGAGAAACAACGCCGCCTTTATCTTCTTATACACCTCTCTAATCCGATAATCGTCGCAAGCTACCTTAAACGCCGTGTACACTATAGAAAGTAGAGCGGTCCCTTTCGTTATTGTTTGAATGGAGGATAGTGATATATTTCGCGCTTGTCTTTGACAGCCGCCAAGCACGTGGCCGAACGAGAAAGCAGGCGGCCGTGACGACTATAGTCGCGACTCGAACGAGATCGATGCTACACACAATGAATTACCGCAAATAATTTTCTGCAAAAACTTCCATTTTTTTTCTCTTATTCGGACAATTGTGGTGTAATGAAAAAATCGATATTGCGGCGACTACGCGCATGCTTTAAAGATAATAGCCATAATAAGAAACGCAATCACATTGGTTACGTTTTTGTACGATTGTTGGATTTTTATCAGAACCATGTGATATAGGTCTTCCAGATTTTACAACAAAGACAAATTTAGAACTAGTTGTAAATTTTTCATTTTCTCTACGCGAATACATTTTCTTTAAATATCTTGATAATTAGAACCTAATTGGAAATTAAGATAGAATTATTTAAAATTAATTAAAAGCTAAGAGAAAAATCGTTATATTTATACAATTTATATTTCTCTCGTTGAAGCTTGATTCGCAAAAAAATTATCGTTTTCCATGACAAAAGGCTTCCTATTGGCGTTGAATGAAACAGCCGTGGCTTTTTTTTTAATTTAAATCCTATTTTCTATACTTGAAAAGATGTCTCGTGATTTTGAAACATCCCGTATGAAATATATACATGCATATAATTTATTTAAAGATATTAATAAAATAAAATGAGAATTTTTATATAAGATTTATATGCTATTAATTACTAATTCATGCTAATTAAACTATCCATTCGATTTATTTCAGTCCCGTCCAAATCGCGACTCTAGTCACCACTCGATTATACTTTTTGCGTGTCGCAACACACACGACCATATATATTTATGTGTATATATATATATATATATATATATATATATGTACTACAATGATACATATACAAGCATAGATGAGATTACGTTAAAACTAAATAACAGTAAATTTCTCCCTGTGGAAATTTCGAGCTCTTTTTTTCTTTCGCTTTCTCGGGGAAAACATGAGAAGCATGACAAGCCGTCCTTGGAGCAACAAAAAGACATCTCTATTAGATCGCGATGAAAAAATGTTGGAAATGTTGGAACAACACAGCGCTGATTTTTCCATTTTTCTTTTCTCTCTCTTTTTCTCGTTTCCGGAATGAATAACATTTTTATTAGCTCCTCGGACCGGTCGGCTGTCTTATTCTCGATAAATATATAAGATCCATTCTATAAATACTAACAATATACAGTGTGTGTATTCTTACGCGGCCGAAAGGTTTTACATTAACTATGCGGGCCGATAAGAAGTTGCGACAAGAATATCTTACTAGTTTACAGCGAGAGAGATAGAATACAGTTGGATTATCTCGTTTTACATCTTCATATAATACGATAATCATATATACGTAATATTGTCCTGTTACGCTCGGCGGCACCGGTAGCTTTAGACACGAATATGTCAATTTTGATCGAGAAAAAATAAAGAGAAAAATGATCGAAAGCGATACTGTACAATACGGAAAAGATACATGGATGTACCGATTAGCGGTTTAATCAGCAAACGACCATTCGTTAGGTAAGCGAAGAAAATGTGTCGTCCATATGATAGGCATAAAAAGCGTAGATTAGATTTATTTAATTATTTACGAAATGATCGTGCATTAATCGACTAAGGTCAATGTATGATGCAATTGTACTAATTATATTAGAAAAGAGACTTCCCTTTTTTTTTTTCAAGTATATACATTAAACGGCTCGAATTTTTCTTTGTTTATCCGATAAATAATATAAGTAACAATATTAATATAATATTAATTATATTAATATATATTACATAATATTTAATGATACTAATTTCTCGATATTATACCAACGCGAGCATTCTAAAGCTACCGACGCTATCTTTGAAGAACTCGCGCGATCTATCGAAGCTCGATTCGAAGCTACCGATTTACAAACTAACAAACTAATTAACTGTCCTAGCGGCGACCATAATTTAATGTTACGCGCGCTCTCAGAGAGAGAAGGATCCTATACGTTCATATTATATTATATAAAAGATACGCTCGCGAAAAGAGTGAGAGCGCAGTCGGAACCTAGTGCGAACGAATGGAAATGTACATCGACGAATGAAGGGAAGCGATTCGTTGAAACCAAGTCCGAAGATATATCTGGTCGCTTCCTCCGCCTCGCATTTGCATCCGCCCACGAAACGACGACGTTTCATTAAACTTTCTCACTTCGCACAAAAATCGGATTTGCAGATATATATATACAGGGTCTCCCACCAAAAGTGGCCATCCCCTTTTATCTTTTAAACTAAAAGAGATAGATCATAACAAATATATATCAAATTAAATGGTTCAAACTGAACTCTATTGTGAGCATAATGGTTGCTTCCAAAAGCTATCTGTGTTAACGAACGGAGAAGTATGCATAATTTTTTTTATAATAATGTGAATATTTCGATATGATAAAAGTTGTAGCACTGTTTGAAACGAATACAATAATGTATGATATAATGAAAATATTTTATATATTATACGTGTTTTATCAACTTGAAATATCGCGGGCGACGTTTATCTTTTCATTTTCGGCCCTGCGATATGGCCAACTTCGAATTGAATATTATGATCAAATGACAACATGACATATGTCAATCTCTAATGCACGAGTCAGAAGTTGGCCAGTTTGAACCATTTAATTTGATATGTATTTGTTATGGTTTATCTCTTTTAGTTTAAAAGATAAAAAGGGGTGATCACTTTTGGTGGGACACCCTGTATGTATATATATATACCGTTCCCTTCGAGACGACACGGAAAAATTTTTTTCATCTATATCTATGTATATGTACATCTATATTTATGCTTATCGAGTATACACGTACGCGCTAACGAAAATAAAGATATCGAGACGAGGAAAGTGTGAAAGATTCACACTTCAAAAATGTGTTACCCCTAAAAAGAACACTAACAATGGTAGAAAAGATTCGCGGCGTAAAAACCCAATACCTACAACGCGCCAGCCAAAGTCTCTCTCGATAGTCGACCGATCCCGCTAATGTCGATTAACATTAATCGTAATCAACTGATGTGATGAATCCTTCATCACGATCTGTATTAGTAGAGTGTTGTGATCTAGAAAGAAATGGGGAAGATTAAGCAACCTAGAATGAGAATTAATCGACATTGGAAGAATCGGTCTTGTGTCAATCCTCAATGCAGAATTAATGATAAGTAAGAGAAATCGAAAAAAAAAAAAAAAAAAATTAGAGGCGATACTAGAAACGAGGGCGAATATTTGCGACCGATAACGCGAAAAGCATTATCCTGTAATGTACGTATGTGTATGCATATGTGTGAGAGAGGCCTTAACGAAAATCGAACAGACTTTTATCGACTAGTAGTGCGTACGTTGCGTAAATATCGTCAAATTTTTGTCTAATTCGTTCCTGTTTTAGCCGCGATCCATTCGTTCATTCGAGCGAGAAATCGCGGATAAATAATCGATCGATTATACGTAAATACAATATACACGCTACATTGATAGATTTTTCATTTCCTCAGTTACGACGACATTTATATAATTTGACGAGAATCGCGAGTGTGTGCCGACAAAATCCCAAAACGAAACGACCGCAACAGGATATTGACTGCATCGATAATACCACGTACATTCACGTTGTTGTATTTCGTAATTATTTTGTATGAGCGTCGTAGCCTTAACTTTTAACATACTTCGTTAACTATCTAATTAAGATATCCTCGAACAGTATACGGATAAAGAACATTTAATGAGTCCACCTATTCGTTTCATATATATGTATATGAGTGTGTATATATATATACATATACATATATAATAATAATTATCGTATATCTTTTATCGTATTTAATATTTAATACTTTTCTCGACAGAAAAAAGAATATGCCTCAAAACTTTATCTCTCTCTTTCGCACCGTCCCGAAACAACGTTATCCATACATTCGCAGAACTCTGCGACATTATATTATATTATATTACAACGAGAATATATGTGCCCGATGTGCGAATCTCTATTTCAATTTTTCATGCTTTGCGCTTTTTTACCGGTTTGAACATTAACGCGAACATTGGTATACGTGCAATCGTCAGCTACGTGTGTATATAATCTAACGCGATATTACGTTTAGAACCATGACGAACCACCGGAGTGCTCTTTATTTATCTATTACGCGCTCTTGCCAATTCACGCACCATCAGTTACGCATAATCTCCTCCCTTCTCCCTTTTCCAAATGTAAAAATTAATCTTTACCTAAATATCGCTATGTAATTACGGAAATTCTTCATCGAACTTAGAAAATGCATCTTCGATAATAGGCTTGCTCGACGTATCAACGAAGAAAAACTGCGCTTTTCTTTGCGCTTACCAACACGAGCGCAATACTATCACAGTTCATCCTCATCAGGAAGATATTCACCGCACACGCGCACGTTCGTGTCATTCTAAACGCAACTCGCGTCCGGAACAACTAATTCGTCTAAGCTACATAATTTATGCCCGGCTACGGATTTACAAGGCGAAAAAAAAACGCCTCGCTCTACATTTTATGTGTTCCCATGAACGTTGGCTAAAGTTAAGAATTCAGATTCGATCTTTGTTGACTCCTCGAGAAAAGAGACAGATATTCGCTTAAACGACGTATTTTTAACCATGACCAATGCTCACGGGAACCGTACATTATATTGGAGTAATGCGTGCTGCATGTTACTCGGCGAGCATATTACAGGAAGTATGATACAATTTGCCGATCGTATTTCACAATAAAACGATTCGAGACAATTAATGATTCAAGATCGCGATCGGGTAGTCATGCCTAACAGAAATAAGCGAGACACATTATCCTTGTTTCTTTTCTCTTTCTAGGCATATTACATGGTATTTACAAAACTCCGCTCCGTCTTCTTAATTCCATTTGAAATCCTGGAACAGTTATTGGTAGTTTGCTTTAATACATAGGCGCAATACCGCGTATATATCATGACACAACGTCCATATATCTATTTTTCCATTTATACTAAAGACAGCTATTTACATGACTATCGAGAAAGCGTTAATCTTTGAATAATATCAATAGCATCAGATTGATAATAAGAGCTGCATAAGAGATGACGCGTGCATTATTAGTAATACAGAACAGCCAGATTTCGTTCATTGTAAAATTCATTTCAGACAACTTGTAATTCACGACAAAATTAATATAAAAATAAATTTGCAGAATCAAGATTACATCATGTATATGTTTTTATGAGCAAAAAATATATAAAATTTTTGACAATAAATAACATAATTATGATATTTAAAGAATTGTTTAATTATTGTAGTTATGATAATTATATTTATGATTCGCTGAATAAATAAAATTATAGATGAAATTTTGTTTTACGTTATAAAACATCCAAAAACCAAATGAAAATTAACAATTCAGAAATGCTGGCATTAAAAATGCTACATGATATTCATTATTAATCACAAATACATATGTAAGTCACAAACAGATTACTGTACATTATTAGCTTCACAACGACCCATCCAAATCGTTCGAAAAGAAATATAAAGATCATTTATATATATATATATANNNNTATATATATATGTATGTATATACAAAATTAAAGATCCAATGCCTAAACTAGAGAGTATCGAATAAAATCTGCCCCTTGAAGTAAAATTCCCCGTCGCACAGATTTCGGAAACTAAAGAAAACGACGTTTAGTCAGCACAGATTCCTATCACGGATTGTCCCATTATATGCCATAAGATCCTTGACAACGATAACGAATGGCGCAGAAATGATAAATGAGAATAGGTACCTAATCCCTTCACAGAGCACCAAAGGGATCGAGTTGGACTGCATTGCCTTGTGGCTGAGTGGGTGCTACAACGGCTTGAGGCTGAGATTGCGGCTGCTGTTGCTGCTGCAGATTAGGACCAGTCATCATGGGATTTGCGCCGGTCATAGCCATCATTGGCGCAGCTCCTCCCGCAACCATCATACCACCACCGGCGGCGGAAGCACCTGGGATAGTACACATCATCGGCCTCATACCCTGCATACCCTGCATGCCCTGCATGCCCATCGGCATACCTTGCATACCCTACAGACACCAGAGAGCGAGAGAAATAAGACGTATGTACAAAAGGAAGCATGTGTGCCTGCAAAGTTTAATGTTTTTCTTAACAAAAAAAATATCTCGTCAAAATATAACTGATCAATCGATATTATAATCAGACTAGAGTTGGACGATAACAATTTAGACGCTGACTAGGAAAAAAAATGCATTTAGACTTTCTTATTTTATCTTATAAAGTACTCTGGAAGCGACTTTGATTGCATTAACATTGGACAGAACTGCATACGTCGTCAGATGAGAAAGAGAGTATCGGATAAGATAAAATATAAATACTCTATATAAATACATTTTTTCCAAACAGGCCACTCTCCCTCGAGATTCTTGTTCAGTTTACATTTGTAAGAGGAATCTCTAGAAAAATATAATGTAGCTTAATCTAATCTATTCTGATAACACGTATATGTTACCTACATGTAGATGACAAACGTTTATAATCAACTTGTCTACATTGTCTACATTAAGGATCAACATGTCAAGCAAATTACAGCCAACGTATGCAGAAAAACAAATCTCAAACCAATCTGCAGAAATATAAATCGCTGCGGTAAACTATCTACTACATTCTCGAGAAACGCGTGCACCAAGAGTTACATATCTATGCACAAGCACACAATGCGAGGAAACGCAATGAGATGTTTGAGTGTCGAGTTGGAACGTTATCTTCCGACGACTTTGTCACTTCAACGGAAAGTAGAGAGTACAATGATAATTGTATAATACAAATGACAATTATTGACGAAAGTGAGTTAGTGACATTTTGTGTTATCATACATTATTCTTGTACAGAGTTTTGTGATCTAGTATGGTGAATTCTGACGACGAATTTGGCGCTTTATCGTGTTAAACAAGACTCGTTCGTCGAAACAAAGACGCTCGTGATCTCGTGGGACTTACCATCATCGCAGGTTGCGAGGGAAAACCCATAGTGGTGGTAGTCGTAGGTAGAAGTTGCGTCATTCCTTGGCCCTGTAACACAGCCGGTAACATGCCATATGCCGGTGTGCATGCATTACACTCACCTAAAGGGTGCTAACTGACGAGAAAATTACTTCGTTATGGTATTACGCAAAGCGCGAAAGAGTCCCACGACGGACGATGACTTAATAATAAATTTACGGGCTTAGACAGAAAGAACTAAAGGGTACTACGTGACACTACCTACTTAGCACGCCGCTAATGAGCTAAAATAATTTAATGGACCGCGTGATAAAGAATATTCACGACAAGTGAAGGCGATAACATTGAAATAATCGCGTGAGAAACAAACAGCACAAATGATCTATGGATCTGCATCGGAAATCTACATTTCATAATGCGTTTTATCAGAAACTAGATAATTGTTTTTTTTCAAAAATAATGCATAACAACGATGATGTGTATATGTGCGTGTATCCTTGTGTACCAACAATCAAAAAAAGCGTGCTGGGAATATTTTACGGAGACCGAAGAAGAAAACGTGAAGACTCACCATGGGCCGATATCCAGCACCAGTGGTAGCTGCCATTGGCTGAGGTGACCATCCGCCAGCTGAACCACCCGTTTTCGCGGCGTTCTTCGGTGAGTTCCATTGCATTCCTCTGCAAAACGAAAGAATATTCGTTAATTCTGTCAAAATATTACAAGTTGTGTGCACAAGTCCAATTTTGGACACATCACACATCTATATCATTACAAAAAAATTATTTATGGTTTTATTATTATTATCATTTTTATAAATATATACCATTTTGACAAAATTCATTAAATTGAACTTTACATCACCATATGTATTCCAAATAGAATTACTTGCATATACGAGGCATTTCAATCAATAATTTATTGAAATAGCCTTGTATATATAAAAGTATGGTCGCACTTACTTTACTTGTTGTTGTCCGCTCTTATTGATGGTCAAGTTTTGCGCAAGACTAGCAAGACTGCTGTCCAAGTCTCCGGTCAAAACCTTGCCAGTGGCAGCTGCGCTAACCGGTTGCCCCGCGGCTGAAATAATATTAATTCAAAATCAATTTATCATCACATCGGTATCAAAAAATTGTTAAAAATTCTAAGCAACATCTATGTCAGGCAAAGCTCTCCAAATATGCAATAAAAACCAAATGAGGATTTAAAACAAATTGTAAAATTTACTTAAATTTACAAAATATAAAGTATAATTTTCAAATAATGTATTTTCTAATAAAAAAAATAAAGAAGATTTAATTTCTAAAAAAAACCTCTAAAAAAACCATCGTCGCAAAATTTCTAAACAACAGCGTGCAAAGCTTCTAAGACGAATAACATAGAATTATGTTTGCATTACGGCAATTAGTCATCAGCATGCGGATTATCATAATTGAATTGTAAACTAATAAAGTAGAATAACGATTACATACATACATAATATAGAGGTTATCGCGTTCTATGAAAATATAAATGATTAACTAGAGTGATGTAATCATTTATTTTTTTCAGTAATTTTTGCAATTATCTAAAATGTTATAAGTAAAACACAAATACGTTTATCTACTCGTATGTGCAAATGGCTAAAATTACGTCACAATTATCTTACGTTCTCATATTTCTAAATATAAACATTCGATACAACTTATCGATCGAATAAAAATAAAATATACATAAATCGAACGTGCAATTTCCTCCTAAACAATGTACAAAAAATATCTAACGGATATCCAAAAGGCGTATCTTAAATCTACACATATTTCTCGCAGATATTATAGAGTTTTATATAGTTTAGAATATGCAATACTGTGCTGGCGCAAAAAGGCTAAAAGGCTAAAAAAATTGAAGAAACTTGGACGAAAAGAACAGCAAATACGCGACACTCATGCAATTAGCGTGGGTTAGTTTAGGCATTCCCGTCACCTGACATCGGCTGCTTTGCCGGCGAGCCGTACCCCACGGGGACTTGGGCTTGGGTAGGAATACCGTAGCCGACCATCGGCGCGCCGGTCATCATGGATTGTTGCCCGGCCGCGTCGTTCATACCGCTGAATATACCGGCACCCGCCGGCGGCATTTGTTGTTGCAGCGGTTGCTGCTGGGTGGTCATCGCAGCTTGCTGCTGGACCATTGGCGCTGGACGCGACGGAGACCCGCCCAGTGCCATGCGGATGCTGTCGTTGAGATCGTCGAAGGCGCTCTTGTTAGCGGGGGGGCCTGAGGCCGCCGCCGTCGCTGCCGCTGGTCTACCATGTGACACTCCGCCGACGCCGCTGATAGTCGGAGATAGTGCACGCGGTGCGGCACCAACGTTTGCAGCAGCAACGGCAGTCGCGGGTGGCGGTGGTCTAGGTGGCGGCGTGGCAGTAGAGGATATCTTGCCGACGGCTGAAGGCGCCGTCGACGCCACCACCTCGGCCGCCGCGGCGTCCCCGTCGCTATTTGTAGCGGTCTTCAGCATCGCGGCGGACCCATCGCCCCCCGCGAAGAGATCCGCTTGACCGGCACTGAAGAGGTCTCCGCCTGGCGCCGTTGTTGCTTGTGCCGATTCATTCATCGCATTGCCGCCAACAACACCACCGCCGGCGTTTTGATCGAAGAACCCGAAGGCGCCCGCGTTCGTCGCCGTCTGTTGACCGCCGGCGGTACCGAGGGACGGGAAATCGGACATGAAGGGATTAGGTACGGACGCGGCCGTTCCTGGGACGCCAGCTTGCGCAGAAAGTGATCAAGGTGCATAAGTTAGCTTTTTCTTCCGTTCTCACATTCGAACAGCAATTCAATGACAATGTAAAATGCCTTGCGATTATTATACGGCGACCCGTTAATACGTTAGTTACAGAGAGAACAAAAAGAAGAGATATGTATTCGGAAAATGTATCGAATAATCAGCGCTTATCAAAAATTTTACATATAAAGAAAGAATAATACATATAAAGAAAATATACTACGTTATCATTATTATCTATAATAGTAAAAATATTTGTTATAACAGTATAAACGCTGTTTCATTCGGTACATAGCGTTAAACGGCATGTGTGATTGCTCAGGCGCGTTCCAAGTATCTAAAGTATAAGATGTATGATGCAAAAGTATCATAAAAATGGCCGCAAAAATTCTACGACAGAAAGAGGAGAAGAAATGTACAGATGACAGAAAAGAAAAATAAAGATGCACATGAATCTCAATCGTATGTGAATGCGCTCATATATATAATCCCTGCTTATTGCACTAAATTAATAAGCACTTACTAGATTGCTGATCCTGATTTCCGAATACGGAGGAAAAGCTGTTATCTGTAACAAAGTTATTATTTGCTGGTGGCGCAGCTGGCGCGAAACCTAAAAGAAAAAAAAAAAAGATGGAAAATGGAAGAAAATGAAAACCGAAGGAGAACATATCATAATCAAGCGCGGTGATCAAAAGAAGCAGCGATGATCGAGACTATAATGCCGAGACTTAGATGCTGTGCTCACCAGTACCGTTGGTCATCCACATGTTGTTCTGGTTGGCAGATTGCGCGCCCGGTGCGGCCGGTTGCGGCGTCCCGAACATGTTCGCGAACGGATTACCCGCCAGTTGCAGCAGATCATCCGACGCCTTTTGTGAAAGTTGTTGCTGCAACAAGTAATCGATTATTGTGGCAAATGGGAATTGCACACGACATTAGTCGAATAAAAAAAAAAAAAAAATGCAGATATACCTGTTGATTTTCGGACATTGCTGTACCAAACAAATCCACGATAGGTTGATTGGCATTATTGGTCGGTGAACTGAGGAAGGGATTTGTGCTAGTACTCGATGGCGATTGTACTTTTGCCTGCAATACATACATTGAGAATCTCAATATCGTCCATTTAAAACTAAAAACCTCCTTTTTTCATCTTGAATTAAATACTTTGATCGCTAATAATTTGTAATTTGCTTAATACCTTGTATTGATTCATGGCGGCTTCCTCTTCTGCAAGAGCTTGCTGTCGCAGTGCCTCGTCGATGTGGCCGTTCCCGGTTTGGTCGAGTCGCGCATTGCTGGCTACTGTTCCGAACGCGTTACTGGTGGAAGACAGGGCGGACACTCCCGACTTTACATTGGTTCTATTGCTGCTTTTGGGCGATGATAGGATGTCGGAGATGTGCGGTGTCAATTGGACGGAAGAAAAAAAAGAGGACGGACAAGAAGAATACGGAAGGTCCGTTTCTCAACGAGTTCGTAAAATGTGGCGAGAGAGAGGAGCGTAAAGGAAAAATGATAATTGAAAACAAAGGAGAAGAGAGACAAACAAAAAAACAAAAAGACAAACGGTGTAGTACGTATAGATGTAACAATGCGCGTAAAAATGCAGTGTGCATTATCCATTCATACACTCTTATACACTTCTTCTTTCTCTCTCTCTCTCTTTCTCTCTCTCTCTCTCTTTCTTTTTTTTCACTCGCTATTTCACTCTCCGATTTTTTACTATATGTCCTAATATACACATGCATTTATTGATGTTCTACTTTTTGTAGTGAAAAGTAGCGTCAAGCTTGCGTACCAAATCAAATTAAATTACATGATACATTAATATGTAAATATATATATCGCTCACAATTATTTTGTATATTATTATGAGTGAAATTGAACTTGCTACAATAATAAAAAAAGCCATTTTGTACAGATAAATACATGTGCATTAAAACGTGACATAATACCTTCTTCGTTTTAAGACAAATTATTTTAACAATTGACGATGTGTATCTCAATTCAAACTATTAAATCTAAGTTATATAAGAATTAAATCTATCACAAGAAATAAGAAATATAATTTTGTATTTAATAAATTTTACGATTAATTAAAATATTATTAAAATATTATCCATTATTTATACATATAAGCAATACTATTAAATTATTGATTTACTGTTAATCGCACTTAAGACAATATATTTATACAGCGTGCTTAATAACTCATATTAATAAAACTATAGGGAAACTACTTCAATTATCTATATATATAAACAGATAATAAGTTTATTCATGCAATATACATGAACGGTAAATTGGATAATGTAAAAATTACAATTACGATTTTCGACGAGAAATATCAAAAATTTAGAGACATAGCTTGGATACCTTAAATGGATTAGGATACAAAAATAAATTTCAAAGCTTCTATATACAACTAAATGTCATTGGAGAAAATTAACCTTAAGTATCCAGAAGATACCATCGATAAACTTTGTAAATTGGAAGATAACTGTCGAGAAAGACATTTCCAAAAATATTGTTCAAGACCTCTTACGACATTTACTTAAAAGGAACATGATGGATATTTAACGTTTCTGTATATGGATTTTTTTAATGGGTTAATTGGAAAGTTATGGTATCCGAGATAAACAAATGCAATTTTGCGTCATAATTCTTATGCGTGTGCATGTGCGATAAACATATTTTGTTCAAGTACTCGTATTAAGAAGCTCGTAAAGATGTGTATAGAAGAAAGTGTTTTTGATCTTAAAAAAATGTACAATGAGACGAAAACGGTGGATTTTGGGAAAAGTAGAAAAGGAGAAGTATATCGATTTTGATAGCATTCAGCGTAAGGACGTTTAGAATTATTCCTACATCGATCATTATGTGAGATTTAAATGAATCGGATAAAAATGGGGAAAGAAATACCTTGCTGATTGCGTCGGTGTGTTCGCGGCAGAACCCTTCTTTCCTTCCAAGGAAGCAAGATGTTGCTCTAAGGCGTCCAATAAACTACTCGGTGCCTAAAAAACAATTTGCCATTCATTCATAGAGCATCGTTAGAATCGTCAAGTGAGGTGCAAGATAGAATGAATCAGCTGTGCATTTGACTTGGAAAACATTTCTCTGCGCTAAAACGCATGCATTTATTTTTAGAAGATTTCGTGAGTTTTACATAAATATTTTTAGAAAATATATTATAAACGAATTTCCGATAAAAGAGTAATTGACATAAAATCGACTCACAAAATCTACCAAAATAAATATCGCCAATTATCTCTATGCTGCTCTATACTAAATCACACTAACTCTACCTCGTTAAGATAATCAGTGATGTTATTACCTGTCAGTAATGTACAATAGGAAGAAACAAACGAAAATATTACTTTATCGATTGACTACGTATTTTTCTTCGCTCATTGTTAATTATTCTTCAAAATGATAACCGATACTTATGTACAGATAATTAAACAGATCCTTATTATTATTATTATTATTATTATTATTATTATTATCATTATTATTATTATTATTACAAGATAAATAGATAATGAATGGTATCATAAACGCACGTACCTTCGTCAGATCTGGTATGTCTCCTTTATCGATACCGACGTTCTGTAAAAAGAAATACGCTCAGTTATGTCAACTTAATATTATCGGCCATTTTTACGTTTAAATCATATGTATAACTTACTTCCGCAACTTTCAGAAATTCTCCGACCCTATCCATACGTATGAGAAACTTTTTGTAGAGATCTAAAGCGTCCCGACATTGTTTCTTGTTCATGTCAAAATATTTCTCTGAAAAAGATCACAATCGCAATCGTTCGATTAGAGATTAATTATTCCATCTATCTTCGAATATGCATTTATTATGTGCAAATAGGAAAAGCGAATATACTGCGTTACCTAATAGATTAATGATGCCGTCATTATAACAGGCGAATAACCGGATAAGATCTCGAAAGAGGAGCATGAAGGCCATGTTTATGACGCCATTCGTGAGGTCGTTAGCCGTGCAATCGAATTCCAGTAGCGCGTCGAGTTGGGACTGCAGTACCGGCAAAGTTTTCAGGAGTTTCTCGGCGTTCATTGTGCGTAAAGTGCCGTCCTCCTTCCTACAATATCGATTGCGCAATAAAGATTAATTCTCTCGCTCTAAATGTAAATAGTAAAATAAAATTACGATAATGTCTCTTAGTACATACCCCCGTTTCACTTTGCAGAAGTCGAACGCTACCGTCCTATAGGAGAGGGCTTTCTCGTTGAGATACTTGGCGTATCGCCTGATGAACGGCGACATATCATATCCTGATCGACGCACAGAGAAAAAACCCGGCAATTACTCATTTTTGTTCAGATTCCGTGAAGACATAATAAAAGAACTAATAGGCAGTGCGATGCAACAATGCGTAAAAGTGAAATTAGAAAGTTGGCAATATACACCCGAGAGATGCGATTGCATTAATTTCATAAAGTTATATAAGCATGCGTGTCGAAGCTGATTGAAAATTACTTTTTTATCAAATATGTAATAATAAATTTATAACTTTATACTGAACATAATTAATGTACAACATATATCAATTGATGCAAACATATATATGTATACATTTATTACAGTTAACGCGTGAAAAATTTCATGTTTTTAGTTTAAAAAATTTAAAATTGAACATACAAAACTACAAAGCAACGTTAGTACATTAACAAAAAAAAACAAGGAAATGAAATGTGTTTTGTTATTAGAACTTACCCACGCGTATTCCTGCTTCGTGTCCGAAGAGATAGAAAGTTAGTCCAGGTTAGTAAATCGTATACACAGGTTCAGACACATGGAAAAGAGAAAGATTCGCATTTTCCATATGGATGATAGCTACACGATGCGAGGAAGTTAGCGAGACGGAAAAAATTCGCGCGTGGAAAAATTCGTGGAAAGAGTTCGCATCGTTTTAAAAATTCATAATTGTTATCTAAGCGCCTCAATGATCTATGTGTAATGATCTCTAATCGAATTCACGTCTCGTAAACACATTCTCGGCGTCGAGGTGTCCGCAATTAGCTATTCAAATTACATGTTGCAATTTTCCAAGCGACGCGTGCATATTAAATCAGTCCGCTCGAATATCGACACATGAGTTTTTAAACTGAATGTACCGCGAGTGTGCGAAAAGCCGTGCGATTCGTGCTGCGTTCTTCGCGATGGTTTTGTTAATACAAATGTTAATTTCCCGATTTTCAGATGAAAAAAACATATTTAAAAATTTTAAATGACGAATTGTCACGAGAGCAGTTCTCTTTTTTTTTTTTTCATACAGGATGCCGCAGAATTGACAGAAAGTGAACACAATGTGAAATTTGCATCCAATCAATCATTCATAACAAAAATATCGGACCTGTTAATATAGTATCAGCGTATCTACTCAAATTTTGTACAAAAATTCCCTGATGCTATCAGATATTTTTGTTTAAAACTCCAAAAAAAAGAGAAAATTTTAAAGATTTTTTGGTGCAATCTCCTAAGATAAGTTTCTTTTTATTCTATGCGTTTTCTAAGACTTTGAAGAGATACGAATAAATAATGATGGAACATTATTTGTTCTAAATTTAGGAACGAATAACGTTACGTGTCATCATTTTCCGTCCAATTCCGGAACATCTTGCGACATCCTGAGAAACGCAAAGCCCCCCACTGATGCGATCGTGAAATAATCACCTTGTACGCCGCTCTTGTCGAGAAAATTGCTAAGCTGAAACGTGCTATTGCTGGAGGCGAGATACTGTGTGAACCTCTGCAAATAGAAAAGTCATTTTAGAAGGATACGCGGGCGTCTTGCGATTCGAACGAAAACGAAAAAAAGTAATTACCTCATTGCCGTAACACATCATGTGATGCACGGTGATCAGAGCTTTGAAGACCACCGTCCAGTTTGTGTTCTGCGAGCGTTCTATCAGGAGATTAGCGAGCTGCGGTATGGAGACGTTCGGCTCATTAGTGCAATGGATTAAATCTGAAACGAGACAGAAAGACAGACGGTTATTATTTTTGGCGTGTTCAAGAACGTTGAAAATATTTTCTCGAAATCGGTCAATCTCTCGTGCACTCTCGACTCCGAGAGAAAATCTTGCATCACAATGCAATTCACAATGAGAGGCACCGACCTCCACCTTATAAGATTACATCGTAATTTACATACTACGTATGATTCACAATCATCGTCGGTGATGATAGTATTGTATTGTGAAAATCTCTCGCAAATGCGTGTCATTTCGTCTCGTATTTCAAGTTGAAAACTTAATGAAAATAAATTTTTATATATTCGTAGACTTTTTTACGAATGTGTTCGACAATTATACGTGAAAGTGCGAGGTAAAAGCGAATTAATATCCGAATCGCGGATAAAATAACAACTGCTTAGCGTAACGATCTATTAAGTATAATTGAAAATCATCGACCTCTTTTTATCTCTATGAATTCTGAACTAAATACAAAACAGTATATCGTTACAAATAAAAGACTTGATTAAAACGGATGTAATTTCTAAAGTGAACCAACCGATTTTATCCTGTAAAATCTGAAAAACTAAACAAAAAAAAAAACCTGATAAAATAATTTTACTCGTTCCAAATTGTAGATATCGACATGATTAATCGTAAAAGATTTTTCGTAATTTTCGCACAGAATTTCCAGCTGAAACTTTCAGCATTCAGATGATTCAGATGATTCAAAGAAATGGAGTGATTCAGAATTCATGTAATTCTCATCATCACATTCTTTTTAGTATTACGCGTAGTAAACCAACCGATTTAATAATCATAATGTCATTAAATGTCATTAAATTCATTAAATTATTATATACAGATATAATTTAATAATAATCCGCCCAAAAAATATATAAAAATAATATAAATTAAAAAAAAGAACATATATTTTTATTTTCGTCCTGCATATAATTATAATTTAAATTAATGATTAGTAACATAAGATTTTTTTATCCAAAATTACATATAAAAATTACTATACAAAATTATATTATAGATAAGAGAAAGAGATATAGATATTGTATAAATGAGAGAGAGAGAGAGAGAGAGAGAGATTTTCTACGACCGAATCACAAATTATCACAAATTATCTAAAACGGATGTAAAAGAACAACTCAAAAATTCAATATTTTACAAGCGTTCACGGTCCCTGCTGCTTTCGTCGATGTACCTAAAAATGGAAATATAGCCGATGCTATCGATTTTCGCGGCACGACGGCTGACTCTGACATGCATATACTGAACTCGACGTTCGCACAAATATGTCGCAAAACCGGCCACGAAGAAAATATACGCCAATCCACGAAGTGGACGACGGCAATCTACGCGAGGCCGATCAATCGCGATTGATTAACGAAAGTAGCAGCCACGTCAGAAGAATATCATGTAACAAGATTAATAATCGCGTCGTCGCTCGATTCCGAACGCGACGATGTTTAACATATTGTACTACTATTGTATTATTATATATATATATACACACACACACACTGAACTGTGATGATATATTAAATTAGTTGCGATATTGGTACAATGGTTGTTGTATGAGCTCCAGAGTGCATATTAGCATATCGTTAATCGGACCCTTAATCTCAAGGTTGAATCTTTGATGAAAATTTAAATGCAATTTTTGTTGAGAATAAATCTGCTCCAAATTGATCAAAGAATTATTATTATTATTTAAAAAAAAAAAGACACCTTGTATAAAATACAAATGATATATTAGGTAAAACTATACTTGAAAAAAAATTCGATACATAATAATTAAAGTTAACATACCTACTTAGTAATGTTTTAACATATGAACAGTAAGAATTCTTATCACACATCGAGTGAGCCTGCGTTTAAGCCTGTGACCATGGATATCTGTTATCATATCTGTTTACAATTCACTAAATATTTCCTCTTCGCACAACGTTTATTCGATCGGCGTGAAAAACGACGGGAGTTAAATAACATTTTACCGCGAACAGTTTCCCACGGCTTTAAAGCGTCTCTCTCATTCGACCGACCGATGATCCCGCAATATCGAAGTCACGACGAGAGGGCTTGGAATGAAAGTGCAGCGCAAACGGGCGGAGGGGAGCACCGGATAAAGGCGCGAATGAAGCAGTGAATCAGCAGCGAGCCTTTGGACTCTATTCATTCTACAAACTGCACATTTCCATATGGTTATCGCGCGACAAATATATTCAATGTTATCGCGAAATGTTCTTCTAATTTGCGCGGACTGTTTTTGTAAACAAAAGCAAGATAATTATTTACACGTAATAATTATCTGCGTGATCGATATTAATGCAGAGTAAGACGGAAAATGAATTAAATTCCTACGCTTTCATTAAAAATTACAATAAAAAGGAATATGTACCGCATATTCAACATTTTATTAAGATATTGAATAAAGAGATATATCTATTTATAATATAATAGATACGTTCAATTTAAACGCGGATTAACGTTGTTGTTTCATAAAAATCCTAATCTATGTTTCAGTCAACGTATCATATATTTTAAACATAATTCACAACTTGTCTTATCGGTGGTGAAGTGCCGGCTGCTTACAATATAAGAGCAAAATTATCAAAGAGAGAATTTTTTTTTAAATTCTTTAAATTTCAATAAAATTCCATGAGAATTCCCTGATTTTTCCAGATACAAAATAAATCCCAAATAATTCCAGGTTCTCCATATTTTTCCAGGAAGTAGATTAAAATAGATTAAAATAGAAGGGAAATATATCTTATGAGATACATTACAATAGAAAATTGCAATTCGTACACTCAAAAAAGTGGTATTGCAACTACAGCAAAAATTTTCTGGGTGCGCAAAATTAACTGAGGTACATAAATAATTAGCAAATACTGTGATATCGCATATGTTTCGCATTTAATCAATCTAAGTCACAGAGACAGAATTTATATCTGAACTGTTTGTGAAAATTAGAAAGAATGTTTTTCTGTGGCGCCTATCCATGTTAAGGCCAATCATACTTGTTATAAAGTTTGACTGTGGTACACAGAAAAGATTAGCGGCAAGAAACAAATGAATATATAATCCTCACATATAACATATTTGTATAATGCGCCCAATCTATCTAGCTCTTTTAAACAATTTCTCTCAATTTTTCGATGCTGCAGTTATAATTGGCAGTTATATTTCTCACAAAGATCGTTCTAGCTGTAGTATCGAAACTCATATTTATCCAATGCAGTGATTAACATTTGGCAATGGGACCTAAATTTTCTAGAAGATATTAGAATATTGCTGCTATAAATTCTATATGTAACAGACAATATTCTAACAGATACAAAAAATAGCGATAAATTTTTGTTGTGACACCTAGAAATCTACCTATATCAGCAAGACATTTTTTTGAGTGTAACGAATGCAAAAGCTGCATGCAATAAGTAACCGCAATCTGTCTCGAGCGGCGTGTAAGCGCGACCTTGCGAAGCTTCCCGTTCTAATTATAATCTTATAAACACGGACGGATTTAGCGGCCAAATGGCGTCCGTGTTGGCATCGTCGTAGATTGTCAAAAAGAAAGCATGTCTCTTTCGAACGCGTTCATTCAAAAACCGAAGCCGATTCATAGACGCCGAGCACGTCCCGACTTTTTATCGCTTCGATGCAATGTACGTGAAACAGGTGTAAACTTGTGTCAAATAAAAAAAGTGCAGCTGCTTAACGGAAAGCCAATTAACTTTGACGCTATGACGTATCACATGCATACACACAAGTCAAAATGCTGATATTCACAAATATTACGTAATAAAAATTAATATATTGCAAAACACATTAAAATATATATTAATTATTTATATTAACTATATATATATATTTTATACATTAGTATATTTTTTCAGTTAAATATTATAATATTATTAAGATTAATAAATGTAGATGTTTTAATTTAAAACATTAAATATGTTTTAAATATTTGTTTTAATATTGAAACATATTTACCAGCCGCGAACGAAATTTAATTAACATAAATAATGTACATTTAGCGCGAGACACGCAGCTGATAATACACAGAGAGCTTTTAATAAATCTTCCCGATAAAACCGCGCGATTGGCAATCGTTGGAGGATGTTGAATGTGCGTGCGCTGGTAAAAAACACAATCGCTATCTAGGCTGTATTGAAGGGGTGTACACCCAACGACTGACACAGCATGTGTATCTCCAGACGCAGACGGAGGCGTGTACGATAACGCGTTTTGGCAACGCGAGCGATTGCAGTTGCGAGCTGCAAAAATCAGCTTATGCCGAACGAGCACATTGTAGAATTTTCCAATCGAAATTGAGGCATCGATCATATATTTTATCAGATATATATGTAAAATATTCTAGAAAATCTCCGACATAAAGAGACTTAATTATAGATTTTCCCTGAATTTGGCGTCAAGTTTTATCCAGGAAAGATTTCGCGAAAAGAAACTTTATTTGTTGCAATATTAAAATATTATCATCTAATATAAATATAAATATTGAAATATTGTCATCTAATATAAATATAAATATTGAAATATTGTCATCTAATATAAATATAAATGTAATAACATATTCGTATAATAACAAAATGTATGGATTAAAAAAATATAATCTAATTAAATATTCAATTATTTTTTACTTATGCATTCAATTAAAATCCTGATTTCTCGAATAATCCGATATTGAAATATTAAAATACTGCATTATTAAAAATATTATCTCAAAGCAAAATATAGTGAAAAAATAAAATGTATAAAAAAAATTAATAAAAAACGCAATCTTTTGAAAGTATCAAAAGCTAAATTAATATAATGTGATGTCACAAAACAGAAATGTATTTTTTCCCCTAAATACACGGCCAGAGATATTTACACACGGATAAAATTCTTGCCATTTACTGCGGAAAATAATTATATGTCGCATACTTAACACGCTACTCTAAGCATGAGGCTATGAATGTAATCGGCCCTTCTC